TCATGTCACTCCTTGTAGCTTAATCCCCTTTCAGTGGCAATAGTGTAAATAATTGCTGGTCAGTCTAACATCTATGAAATGCTGCAGCACCCTGGTCATACCTTTAAACTATTCATTTGTGGATGAATCTCCATGGTTGTGGAGCTGGTGATGGGAGATAAAAGTCTCCCAGCCCCCTGCTCCTCAATTGTGATGGCAGAGCAGGGGTTGGGACATAATGATCTCCCAGGCCCTGCTCCCCATTGTGATCTTGGAGAATGGGGCTTGGAGGTCCCTGCCTGGGCTTCTGTGGCAGAGCCCACCCTGACAGTAGGAAGCTCCCAGGGACAGGGAGCCATCTCCTGCCTCCTCGTGGACGGCTGACTGGGAGCAGATTTTGCTCCCAGTCAGGTGTCTATAGGAGAGCTACTGGGCCATTACGAATCTTGAGTAAATTTGCTACTTGCATTTGCAGGTAGTTTATTTACTTGGGATTAGGGAAGTTTACTGCATAGTAAGCGTGTTCACATGTAGACATGCACACTTACTTCTCAGTAAACTATGCTAATGCGCAGTTAAGGGTCTTGTGTAGATTCATCCACTGGTTAGCATCTTACTCCAAGGACAGTCCCATCAGAATCAGTGAGACTGCCTTGAAGGGGAAGATGCTAGTCCAATTGAATAAGAGTGGCAGAATCTGGCCCTCTCCCAGGGCCTGTGCTTGGTGTTGGGTAAAATTGTGCTCAAGGAAAACACGTTACCTCAAACTTTACTCTGCATATGACCAAATACAATTGTTCTGGGAGTTTGATTGTTTGACTTATTTCTGTTTTTACTATATCCTGTTATGTTTTCTCAAAGCATCAATTTCGTGACATCAGCAGAAAAAGAAATTAAATATATGGGTCATACTTATAGCTGGTATAAGCTATTATACTGAGTCACACCAGCTAAGGATCTAGCTCATAACAGGACTGCAGTGAGTATTTAAGTCTAAGAGAGGTAGTTAGCCATGTTTGACTGGTCAGGCAGAATGCAGGCTAGATACATACCTTATAAATTAACTCAAGTTCACAAGAACTTGTGCTCTCTCTCTACATATATATCTTATTTAGTTCACCTATAAGGTGCATATTTTAAGACTGCAATAGCCAATTTAAACCAATATACTTAAGTGGGACTGACTTCAGTTAAATAGAATTTAGTGTTCTGACTCACCACTGTAATGACAAGTTGTGCTCAAAGGCAACAGTAAAGGTTTGCTTCTCAACTTTTACTATATACCAGGCAACTGGAATGGAGGAGGGCACATGTGAAGGTAAAAATCTTTTTTTCCCATTTGTAATTAAAAGAAAAACCTTTCAGAACTGTCTCTTGTGGGATTGAGTTAGAAGTCTTTAAATTGTTTCATTTTCTTATATACTCTGTTTTAGTTCTTGTTTCTGTTCTGTGCCCAGAACTTCCGTGAAGTTAAAGTAAAGTTAATCATGCCTTACTTAAAATAATGTCCATTGAAAAATATTAGTTTCTTTTTTAAATTGTGTATCATTAGTCATGTGTTTTCTTTTAGACTTGACATTTTTTACATTGTAAAACACCAACCTGACTTGTTTTCCTGAACCATGGCGGGGTGGGAAAAATATAATAATTGTTATATGTTAAGTGTCACTTAAATTACAGTGTTCATTTCAACAGATTTTGTTTGATGTGATAAAGTGTTTCTTCTATTTATACAGGTTTATAAGAACAACATACTTAATGAAACATATGAAAAATGATTTGGTAACATAAACAAGACTAGGTTAGAACTAACATGCAATCTGCAATGGAAAGTGTGTTGGATAATTTACATAAGGTTTATATAAAATTTAAGAGGTCAGGTCTTTATCCAGGCAAAATATTTACTTTAGTCAGTGAGCCAGATCCTTGGCTGATATAAATTGACTTAACACCACTGAAATTCATGGAGCCAAGTCAATATGCAACAGGTAGCAGTTTGGTCCTATCTCCCTTTTCTTCTCAACTTTTTTGCATTGGTGTAAGTCTCTGAACTTACATTTGTTTTACATCAGGTTAAGCAGGAGCAGAATTAGGCTCACTGTAAGTTGTGCCTGGATGTAAAGATCTTTAGGATTTGGCCATTAGAATGATAGGAAGTACTGTGAGTGAAGTTCTGCTGTGTCTCACCTAGCTGATTTCTGCGGGTTTCCACAGACAAAATATGGCCTGGAATTTTTGACTTAGCATCAATATTATTTAGTAGAATTGAATATAAAAATGAATGTAACATACAGATCTGAGCCATATACACCTAAAGAACTTCTTTTTGTAAAGGAGTATTTTATCACAGGAAAGAAAATAAGTTTTTTTATAGTTCTCTTTTACTATACTCAACCACAAATTAATCCCTAAGAGGCAATACAGCACTGGAAGCATAACTATATACATATTTTTATAAAAAGCTGTAACCATAATGTGGTCTATTATATGGGATTTAGCTACCATGCTTTCCAGGGGTGACCACAGAACTGCAGTTTCATGAGATGCTCACCCTGGTGGTCTGGTGCATGGAGCAACTGCACAGGTGGCATTGCCCTTTAGGGGCAGTCAATCAATTCCAGTATCAAGAGCCAATCTGGAGAGACCTGAAGTAACTGTCCCACCTTCTCCTGTCAGTCCTTTTCTGGGGAGCTGTTTGCCCACAGAGACACTCTGAGGGAGCAGTTACTTCACTTCAAGTGAAGGTTCACAACTGTGACTTACATTTTTTATACTTGCCTGCCTGTCACAACCTAGCTTTTCGTGGTTTTGGTTATAAGTATCTATATACTTCTATCTCTGATGCCTATTAAATGCATGCTAGAGTGTCAAAAGGCACAGAAGAACTGATTCAATATAAACCTAGTTTTAAAACCTAAACCATGCTCAGACTGAATTCTGTTTGAAGTTTGAGGATGGTGAATTAATGTTTTGCCCTTTTTTATATACCTTTACCCTTGATGATTCTAGCTGGGTGTAGAGGCAAAATAGCTTTTCTTGCAGCAGTCCAACCTGCTAGAGGGTGTCTCTCACAGTTTATATTATTTCATTGTCACCACAAGGTGACTGCAGCTAGTGCATTAGCCCTCATATACCACCTCACCCATTTGTTTTTACAGAATCGCACCTCTGCTTTCTTGCTGTACTTCTGATCAAATTAGAGTTTGGGTGCTACTATAGCACAAAAACTGAACAGGAGGCGGTGAAAATTTCACAAGCCAATCCAATTGCAGCTTGCATTGCAGCATTCATCTCAGGGTAACAGTGGGCCTTATTATGTGGTGTAACATAAATAAGTTAGGCAAAGACTATATCAAGATATCATATCACAGATTTCTCCTGAAACAGTAAAGTGTCCCGCAAAATCTTGACATATCCACAGAAGGCTAGCACCACTGTTGCAAACATAATTACAGTTACACATATTTGATCTCTTTGTATATGTCCATTTTAGCTGGACGAATTTTCTAGATCAGAAAAATTAGAAAAAAAACAATTTAGTTTCCCTATTTTTCACTGCATTTAAGTGCAGGACTTAAGCCAGAAGAGTATTTGCTCTACAGTCTTACGCTTTTAAGTTGGTGAGTTTTTCTTTCACAGCCTCTTGAATAGTTTTTTATCTTCTTCATGAACTCAAAATCCATAATGGAATAAAAATACTCTACCATTCATGAATATAAAGGGCCAGGCCATATTTTACACAATTTGCACAGCCACTATTTGCACACTGTGTATATCTGAAACTCCCACAGAGGGCGATAAAGTGACAGGAGGGATACATTTGTTCTTCTAGGTTTTTTTTCCCAGTCTTGGAAACTCCCTCTCTTCCAGGTGAAATTTACTTCCAAGTCTTAACATCTGAATTATTTTTAGGGTTATGTGATATGCATGAAATGCATAGTTCTTTCAGCCCACTACTATTGGTTGTCTGCTCAGAGAAACTATTGAATGTTCAGTTGGTAGTGGAGCTGCAAAAGCAAGAAAGTTTAAAATGGTCTATCAAGTCTTTTTTGAGCTCCAAGTCTTAACAATATCCCAGTGAGCAGAACTGACCAGTTTGTTGTTTGAATTTAATAGTGGGATCAATTTTTATATTGCATGACCTTTCCTCTCCTTTGAGTCATTCCATTGTCAGTGAAAATTGTGGAGTATTGGGAAAAAGAGGGATTAAAGTGGGGGGAGAAAAAAAATCTAAAATAAGTATACTTCAGAATAAAGTCAAGTGAATCAGATTAATTAATCATGAAATGTCCTGGCAGATAACCAATGTTTGTATAAAATATTAACTGTATTTCAAATAACGATGTTAACAGTGGACTGATTTTTTTCATAGCACTTGATTATTTAGGGTGTAAATTTGAATTGCATTGCAAAAATATTGATTAATGAGACATATATATATGATTAATGAGACATTTATATATATATATAGATATATATAGATATATCTATATATATATAAAAGTGTTTTGGCTTCAGAACTCTGATGTCATGAAGATGCAGCCACAGCCAGCACATTTTTGTTTACATTACAGGAAAAGTTGTTTCCTGTCAATCTGTGCCAGACTCAGAGTGGGAGTTTTTACAACTACAGGTTACACTAAAAATACATTGGAAATGATAGCTCTTCACATTCTGAAGAATGACACAGTTTCTAGAAGAAAAAAATAGAAATCTCAAAGGCAAAAATCCAGTCCTCTTCAAAAACCCAGTGTCAAGGATTGTTTAATAAGATTAAATGCAATGGATTATTTTTAAGAAAAAAAGTAGCAACATTGTCAACTTTACACATGCTGCAATAACTCCTTTCAGTAGCATTTGGAGATGATGTTAGGAAGAAGTGGGAACCTCCAGGTGCTGTTTTCTTACAATTTAGAAATAAGTCTGTTTTGTGTAATGAAAACTTCTGTTCTCAACTTGCCACTGGCTGATTTGACTGTAGTTTAATGCTACTGAACATTTAATAGATTTCATAGACATTAGGGCTGGAAGGGA